AACTTTTGTATTCATGTATCTTCATTTTTTTTTTCTTTTGTATTTTAGAATAACGTAATGCGTCAAGAAAGACCGGAATTGTTTGTCGGAATACCTGAAAAGAACGTCAGACCTCCGGTCACGATAAGTCTCGACACACCGTTGACCAATGTGCTACCCGTAGCTGTTGAAGAGGTTTAAAATTTATTCATTTTTCTACATATTTGTAAACACATCCCATAATGAATTTAACCAACTTTCTACTCATATTCATTCAATCCGCAGTCTGTTTCTTTAATGAACGAGATAACGTTTGAATTAGAAGCGCTTAGTGGAACCGCACAAAATGCGTCACAATCAGGTGATTCACGGGAAACGGTACGCAATCACGTGCGTAATCCCTCGGGTAAATTATTTGGTTTGGAGGAACTCTTGATGGCGGATCATATATCACCTCTGCCCACAATCAAAAAGGAGTCGCCTAATGTTCCGTCTTCAGAGGAACTGAAGAGAAAGGAATCTTCTGGACCATTCAAAGGTGGTTCGTTATTGGATTATGACGAAAAGAATCCTCCCATCAAACAACAGGAAGTTGAGGTCGTGAAATTTGCAAAAGGCTCGTTATTGGCGTCGAGTGAAAGTTTATTTGAACAAGCCAAAGAACGGGAAAAAATTCGTCGGGCCATGGGTGGCGTTGGAATCATGAAAGATTCGAACTCTAGCACATTGGTTCAAATGAATGAAGGCGTTCGTTTCCATAAGGGATCCTTATTGGCGAAGAGCACCGAATCACCGGATTACGAGGTCAATGAAAGGCCGTCACGATTGAATAGAAAGCCGTCTAATGGAACGCTTTTATCAATCGATCTGCCTGTAACAAGTCCGCGTAGCACCTCACCACGATTCTTGTCCCCCACTGGGAATGGAAAGCCTTTACTCGATATCAATATGAAGACGGAATCACAACATACGCTAGAATTAAGAAATGCGAATTTCCAACCATTATTGAGTTTTGTTCCTGGGGAACAGCCCTCGAAATCTCCTCGTCTAAATAAATCTGAAAGTTCGGATGTCTCAGATACGGAGATCGCAGAAGGCGAGAATGAAAATTAATTTTTTTGTATCTAAATTATCTATTTATTCTCCGATATTTTAATCCTCATTTATAAAAAAAAAAGATAGACTTAATATATTTATTTTATTCATGCTATGGATTAGCGAATATTTATTATACTTTGTATTATTTATTTTATTGTAATTGTAAATGAGATGTTGGATCGAAAAACCCAAAATTGTTAGAAAATAGAAATGACGATTTTACTGAATATCTCACAAAATCTTAATTTTTCGAGAGTTTAATTATCTCGGATTTAATCGTAATATAAAGCGTTTCGTGGCTCATCACTTGCCCTAATAAATGAGCGCCGTTCTTTTTGCGTTCTTGATGCATAGCGAGATATGTGTGTGATTCGGAAACGACCGAAAGTATTGTTCCGAAAATTAATTAACGCATGATCACGTGACTAGTCAATGATATGTGCTTACAAATATTAGATCGAACTGATTTTCTCATTGTGTATGATTAAACTTTCGATATCAACGATACGTTTTAATTTCGTTGATAGCCGGCAATAACCAATTTTAAGTTAGTTTATTGCTGAAAATCATTAAACAAAAACTTCGGATCCTCATACAGTTCATTCAATTATGCGCATAAGAAATTTTTTTTCTTTGGAAATTAATACTTTGTTGAATATGTGATTGGGTGAGATACACAGTATGTTAAAATTTTTTTATTAAATATTCTTAATAAAAATGTATTATATTACGCACATGATAAAAATTGATTAATAATGGCTATAGTCACACCTTTTATTAATAGTAAGAATATTTTTTTAAATAGTTTTATTTTAATACTATTATATTTATTATTAGTTTCAATCCTTTGTCAGGCTAGATACAGTTTGAAACAAAACTTTTTGTTCTTTTATTTTTTATTATAATTTAGTAAATAATTATTTAATCAAAATAAAATTCCAAATATATTGTATATAAATTTATATATAAAAAGTAGTTAAAGAATAAATTTTTTTATAAAAAAATTTTTGTTAAAAAAACTCTTTCCCGCTGATCCCCAGTTTCCTAAAAAATTTCCTTTTTTGGTAATATTTTTGGAAAACCTAGAAGCCAGCCTCCAATATTTAAGAAACACATAGTCTAAAAACAATGACAGCTTGTCACCAAGCTTCAAAACCACTATACTTCTTTGTAATAACAATTACAGGGTAAGTATTAGAGAAAAAACTATCACAGTATAGTTTTTCTTCACAGAAGAAAGAAAATCCCAAGAAAACTGATTCACAGTAAGCTCCTGGAGGCTCAACCTCAACTCCACAAAGCTTTCGGCCAGGTCAATGCAGGTTAACACCTTTCTTGACACTAAAAGAAGCATTATAGGTAATAACTTCAGCCAATAAATCAGCTAAAGCTCAGAGCCTACAACACTTAGGAAGACGTTCAAGTCTCAATTACTCAACAGTAAAGAGTGACATAAACAATACAACAACACTCCATATCTTAGATCACGTAACGTGAACATGTCACGTCTGCCAGTTTAAACAGCAATTCACTTACGTATCTGATAAATAACCTGTTTACATGTTTTCGCTTTATATTTACATGTAATAGTAGTTATCAATAATACAACAGATCTAAAAATAGTAACACAGCTTACAATTCAAAGATCAACACCTTGTTTACGGGTTTACACTCTATACTTACACATAATAGTAGCCATTAAAACACAATAGATCTAAAATAGTAACACAACTTACAAGTAACAGATCAACATCTTGTTTACATAAACAAAACAAATAAACAAACAAACAAGTACTACCCAAATAAGCAAGGAACAACTATCACATAATTCAGCACTACTCAAGATAGCATTTAATAAAACATATCAACACCATATATAGCGACCTACTCTCCATATCACGTGATCAACATGTTTATGAAAAAATACAAACTCTTACAGGTCACTAAGAAAAGAGAAGCACATATCATTGAAATATTAGTCCAACTAACGGACAAATATGATCACCAAAGAAAGTTATGGGCCTCACAAACCTTCTTGAATGTCACTTCAACTCAAGAAGCTATCGCAAATCCAGTCTCAAATCCAATTAGATACTCGATTATTGATAGTATTATCACTAGAATTCTGGATGTTGATCACACTACCTTCATCAAAACCAATGTTCTTAAACAACATATTCTTTACTTATGGACTATAGGACAAGGAAAAGAAGAAGATCTTCTAGCTCCCTTTTTAGAAGACAAATACTTGGATTTGATAGAACAGGTAGAACAAATACAATATACCTTACAACCATTACCAACAAATCAATCAATAATTGGAAGTGATCTCCCTATTAAAAACTCACCTAATAAGGCAATGGCCATGGAAGTTCAAGTAACCACACCAATTGAAATCCTTATTGTCACCGAAGTCGAAATGGGAAACAAAAAACTAGAAGACAAAATTGAAATGGAAGTCATTGATGAAAAAATTAGGGGATAATATTGCTAAACAGCAAACATATAAAACAAGAAATAGGAAAACATCTAGCATTAATCCATACCATATTAAAGAAAATAGAGATTTCAAAATGGGTGTATTTACCTTAAGACTTTCAGGAGAAACCGAAACAGAACAAATAGCATATCTCCAAAATACATTAAGCCTACCAAAAGACTCAAACCCCTTTACAAAAAAATTTATCAATGGCAATGCCTAGACAACATTCTGCTGTGAAGAGGAAGAAGATGTATTAAGATGCCTTGAAAAAATCAATAGAAAGGAGGAAGACAATTTTACCATAATACCCCTAGAAATGGATAAATGGT